GCTGAACCTAGCAACAGAGCAGTTTGGCTTGCATAAATAATTCTTCCCATCAAACTATGTGGTTTCAGACAAATACCAAGACCGTTTAACTGAGGAAAACACAAAATCCAACCCCCTTGTCGGTCCACCACCTTTCGCTGAAGCAGAATTGCACAGATCTCCGCACAAGCTGGCAAGCCCCGTGTCCCAGGAGAAAATCACATCTGATCAACACCATGGTCAGCACAAAATATCACTTTTACTGACAAAAGGAAACCTCTTCCTGTTTTTTCAGGCAAAGTTAAAAGAAGTGAGAGGCCAATTCCCAGCAAATAATGCACCAGAATGATTTTTCTTTCCTTTAACCTTCACACTAGTAATCTATGAATGCCCCATAAGGCTCTTTTTTATGACCTAAAATTATTGATGTTTCCCTTCAGCAAATAATCCCTGAGCAGCCAAATCTGAAGATTACACGTGGGCCTTGGAGTATTATCCATCTGATCTGGAAAAGCACTTTAACACGTATTAACCTTTAAGCGCTGATGTTCCCCTTCGATCACAAGGGTGTTACTGTCCTGCCTGTAGAGGTGGATGTGCCTGCACGCACTGCCTGACCCGCACCCGGAACTGTTCCCTAAATCCCAAGCTGTTTACACTGCTTGGGTGACTTACAGAGCTAACCAAATACATGCAGGCTGAGCCCAGGCTATGGAAACATGTGCTGTATTCCATCAGTCATGGAAATTATCCAAGCTGGAAAGCGATTCCATGTGACTGATGAAATCAATAAGCAGATTGCACACCTCCAATAGAACTTGTTTACTCACTGAAAGCTCAGCTCCTACTCAGAACTAACAAAGATGGGCCAGGCTGGCTCACACCAAAGGCCCTTCTAGACCCGTATTCTTTGGAAAACAACAACCTCACGTGCCAGAGTGTAAGCAGGAGAATCCCACTGCGGAGGAGTTTGAGAGCTTGCGGCAAACCTGCCTGAACTCCCAGGAGCTTAGAGCAGAAAGACTAACCCTCCTTCTTATCCCGGCAGGATGCTGCATTGCAGGGCACGTGGTTTACGTGAGTCCTGGCAAGTGAGGTAGAATACCGCAAAGAAAAAGAGGATCTCGCACCTGTATTCGTAGCAAGGATAACACTGGCATGGGTAAGGGCTGCAGCCATGGCAGTTTCTTCTCGTTCCTTCAGCTCCTTTCTCAGTGCCTTAATCTCACTGAGAAAATGGCTCCGCTCTCCCTTGTCTTGAGCCTTTTTAGTTTTTGCCTATAAAATAGAAAAATCAAGATAGAACAAACTGTTTCTAGTCCTAGGGATATGTTCAGCTTCTCAAATAACCAAAGAACCTCGATACAGCACGGCTTCTGTATGTCCACCGTGATATATTGACTCATCACAATCAGCCCCACGAAACCCTGGTGTCTCCTCCCTCTCCCTGCCAGAAAGCCCCTTCCACCATCAGTGTTGCTTGAAGCATAGAGAGTATTTTTGTCTATGCAAAAGATGAACTATATCAATAAAACCCCAAGCTCTGAGCATGAAGCAGCAAAACAAGAATATCGCTGCCCATCAGACCATGAGGGAGCATCAGGAGTAACACCATCACTCAGGGTCCAGACAGCGATGTCTCAGACTTAGCTGGTCCATGTTTAAACTCCTCTGGCTGCACATTTTGATAGTCTTGAATTGTAAGCATAAAGTGTTGAAGAGTAACTCCCTGTCCTTAAATCCTCTGTTCAGCCCTTCCTGCTCTGCCCTGCGCTTTCCCAGTGCCCCAAAGATCAGCAGGGAGAAGGTCAGAGGCTTCAGTCCATCCGACGGGCGAGACCATGCACCAGCCAAAGCATCTGGGTGCAGAGCAGGGAGTAATATGTAATGGTGATTAGGTTTAATGGGAAGAAGGTCTTGTGCCTTTGCTGGGTGAGGAACTGGGACTTCCTATCTCATTCTGCTCCGTTGCTCGGGGGAAGCAGGCACCCTCTGGCTCCAAGTGACCTTGAAGCAGGAGGGCTCCCCAAGTTCACTGCACCATGTCCAGCCAAAGCAGCAGCTTTGCATTTTTACAAAGGTGTCTCTGAGTTGCTGTAAGTGAGTCAGAGCAATATCTAGACAGCTCATGGCTTTTTTTAGCAATGCCTATTAAATATATCTGACACATCAAATCATTGCCACTGGTTGCTAGCGCTTCCCCAGCTACAGCCCAGCAGCTATGAGACAACAGCCGAGCTATCGTTCACTGCAAGTCACCCTGGGAAAGCTACCCACACTCTCAGATGGGAATTTGGATTATTGCCTTGGAGGCAAGGCTGATGACTTGAGAAAGCTGAAAAAGCTGCAGACAGAAGCTTTGATAAGCAGCCAAACCAATAAGACCTGATGGTTCCTATAATCAGCCTCTGTACAGATGGATTCTCCAGTGTGTACCATGGTTCAGCTCATAGTGCAGCCTTTCCCCTAGGAACGACATTCACGTGCCTCACTCCTCTACTCAGCCTCCTGTTTTGGTTAAACTTGTAGGTATTTAATACCTGTGAGACCTCTACATGTCTGTCAAGTACAGCCAAAATTGGCTGACGGGCTCAGAAGTTACAGGGGAGGGATCACAGGCAGATACGCAGATATCGTGATCACACAGGAGTCTTTTCCCAGCTCGATCTAAAAGGCCAGGGTGGGTGCCAGGCCTGATACTCATTGAGCTGAAGGGACAAAGCAGATCAGCATCCACTTCCTCTCTGCGAGAAACAGAGGAAGATTAGAGAGCAAAACTGATGGTGCCGGTAGGGCAAAGTTTAATGTCTGTTCTGCTAAAAAGATCTAGTTAGTACATTAACAACAGCAACTGTTCCCTGACGTCGGCTGGTGACGTTAAGATCCAAACACCCGACTGACTCTGGGCTCTGAAAGCAGCTGAGGGAGCAGAGCCCGGTCAGGGTAAGAGCACAGGTCGAGGCAGCCACAGGGCCGGTGCCTGGCACACCGTGAGCCTGGATCCCCAACTCCTCGTTAGGGCTCTGGGGGTGCCAGCAGGCTCTAATTGTCCTGGCCTGCCTCCTTTGGGCCCCACCCACCCACTCATTGGTCTGGGAGCTGCATTTAAGGGCCAGACCTTGCTCCTGCCTTGAGCTATATGCTTTGTGTCCTGGGTCTGGCTTTCTCCCTGGGTTGATTGCCTCTTCCTCCCTGCTCCAGACCTGTCTGGTGCTCTGGACTGCTGGCTGACCCTGCTCTGCATCGCTGGACCTGAGCTGCCTTTCCTGCTGTGGGGCTGCACCCTTGTTGCTGCAAAAGAGCACCCAGAAGCTGATGGCCTGGAAAGCTGGAAGTCTGAACAGGTGAGGGAAGGAGACACAAAGGGGTAGAAAGTTTGCAAAGAGAGTGTGGGTTTTCATTTATATTGCTAGTTCTTCCGTGGGTGGGGAGAGTGGTGAAGGAAAGCAGTGAGAAGAACCAAAATGTGGAGTGGACAAAGGAAGAAATTATTACAAGGCAAGCAGGGGAGAAACTGGGGCAAGCTGAGGGAAAGGTGGGCCAGGACCTCAGAGGTGAGCTCTGCAGCCCAGAGAGGAAGAGATGCTGATGAGTCAGAAGCACCTTCTGTGACAGACCCGATTGGGGCAGCCCAAAGCATTGCTATGCAGGCTGAACTGCAGCAGTATGTTAGCTCCTGGGACTTGTTTGGTATGTCAGGGCAGAACAAGCCTTGGTGGCCAGTTCCTACCTCCCATCGCTGGCTACTCCCTCCTCTAGGGAGGAAGCAGATGGAGACCTTAGTGCTGAAGCTTTGCTTTCTCCCTAACTTCCCTTTTGCTATGGAAAATCAACAGTGAAATAAAACCTGCTCTTGCTTTTCAAAATGCCTCCCAAGAATAGGAAAGGGAAAATTAACCACTGGTGACAAAGAGGCAAAATGAATTAAGAAGTAAAAAAGACTCAGTGTAGAGCTGTGAGTACAACCAGGCCTCCATCCCAGCAGATCAGTACATCCCCTTTTGTGAACTCAGCTACAAGGGCTTTACCCAGCCCTCAGGTGCCCTCTCCTTCCTTTACATCATGTGCAACAACTTGCCTGCCAAATGACCTCCCCAGCTGCTCAGCAACAAACACGGGGTGATGCATGACCCTCTTTGGGGGAATGAGCTGCTGCCATAGTGGTGGCTGCAGCTCATGGAGCTGAAAGCAGCCATGTCTGGTCTGCATAATTTAAAAAAGTAAACGTGCAGTGCTTTACAAAGGGCAGGGCAACGGACTTGGGCAACTGAGACACAGTACGTGTGCAGGGGTATGAAGATGCCCCCCTGCCTCTGATCAAGACAGGATCTCTGTTGAGCTGGATACATCTGCAAAAAGACTCCTGGACAATAATGCCACCAGAAAGGGGAGGAAAAAACCTAATTAGTATCAAAACCTATCATCTCAAGTAAGAGCTACTTTGTAAATTAAGTTTAGGAAAATTAGGTTGTGAAAGAAGAACTTAAGGATGCATTTTTATAGTGTACTCTGCTTTCTACTTGAGGTGGCTGAGAGTGGGAGGGAGTGTCAGGACAGTCAGACATCTCGTTAGAGAAACATTCATATCATTAATTCATTTCCTCACTCTCTGGTGAAGAGGACTGCATCAACAATGTCAGACAGATAATCTGGAGAGCAGGGCACTGCAGCATCTCCCCACGCAGCAGTAATAACTGATTTTGCCACCTCAATGAGGAATTTGGGTAGGAGGAGTTTGCCCTCAGCACCTGCAGCAGATGAAGAGGAGCACTGGTGTGGCAGGTCAGCAAGGGGGCTCAGGCCCTGGTGAAGAGGCGCTCTTTTTGGCCTGGAAGCCTTCCTCACCTCTAAAACTGGCAGGCCTGCACCCCAGTTCCTCCCTTCCAAGGCCAGGCAAATTCCTCCCAGTTGGAGTAAGTGGGATGAATCCAGGCCATATGCATCTCCTACTGTCACTCCACGGCACTATGCTGTTTTTACCTTTCCTCTCCCCTGAAGTGGCCTTTCTGCTGCTGACTGACCAGAGAGGCTCACACCCAGCAGTGTTTCACCCCTGCCTGTACACGGTGAGATCCAGACTGGGAGCATTGCTGTGGGCTCGCGGTGCCCTGAACCCACAAACGCTAGGTTCAGCCGTGGCTCACGTTGGGACTAGTCACTGTGACTTGCCTCTACCCACTGATTTTGGGGCAGCCCAGAGCACCTGGCTATCTCCTAAGAACACGCAAGAAGTGGCAGAGTTGTTCTTTAGTTTTAGAGACAGAGTAGCTTGCCCAGCTAGCAGATCAGATATGGCTAACCTAGAGAGCTGGCATTCGGGTACCATACGTGAGGCGTGTTGCAGGGATACATACAAAGGCCTGGTCGATGTCCTTCCTGATATCTGCCACTATCTGGGCGCTGTCACCACGGGCCAAGACTGCATCCAAGGAATGCTGCTGGATGGGCTCCAGCAGGCGAGCAGGGTGCCCGAGCCGCAGGATGCGGGCTTTGTAGCCAGCCAGCCTTTCCACCAGGTTATCCACTGCAACGTTGGAAGGGGCACAGCACAGGACCTGCAAGGGAGAAACCAAGTGCTTGTTACTGCTGAGGACAGCAGAACACTGGAGCAACAGTGTCCGAGCAGGAAGATGCTCAGCAGGGAGAGGGAGACCAACACATCTATTGGGAAGAAACCACTGACATGTCCCCAGCCTCCAGACACCAAAGGCAATTCTCCCCTTGCTTTGAAGCACTAGGGCAGGATCTTCAATAAATAGCAAACCTGAGCATTAAAGCTTCTATTTGCACCCAGTTTCAGCTGGTAGGGGAAACTCCCTGGTCCTTGCAGGGCAACTCTCACTCTGCTGTAGCACAGCTGCTGCCGAATCTGCTCCAGCTGCCATGAAGCCCAGTGAGTTTGCAAAATAAACCAAAGTGAGCACTGTCACTCCAGTCCTGCCACTTGTACTCACTTTCAGGCCTTGCTGTACAGCTTGCAAGATGATCTCCACTAGAGTTGTGGTCTTCCCTGTGCCAGGTGGTCCATGGACAATGGCAAGCTCCCTCTGTGCCAGTGAGAAGGAGACGGCCTCCTTCTGCGAAGCATCCAGCGAGTTGTTGTAAAGCTTTAGAGGTGCTGGGGAGACAGCAGGAGATTCACTTGGAGCTCAGGGCTAACGTGGGTGCTTGCTGAGAAGCACAAATGCATGAACACAAATAAGAAGGTCTCAGTAGCTGACCCAAATTAAACTGATAATGAGAACAACCTTCCTGGGGAGGCAGGTACACTGTGTACCACCTTGGTGGCTAAAAGAGCCCAGACTGGTAAAAGTAAGGCTTGTTATGCTTTCAAATTGAACAGGCTGCCCACCCTGCAGCTGTGTCTTCCCCCTTCTTTCTCCTACCCCGCTATTTTGCAGAAGAAGCAAGCATTCAGTTGTGAACACAGCTAGTGTGCATCGGAACCCTCCAGCATTTACAGCCGTTTACTTGCTATAATATTAAACATGTACGATCTCCTGGGTGTGGAGGGGGCTCTGGGCTTATTTTGAAGGTCAGCCAGCATATTTAGTAAACCTTCAATAAAAAGGGGGGAGGAAGTAGTTGATCTTGCAAACAAATCGCTCCCATTCCAGTTAACAAACGCAACACAGCGCTAGCAGAAAAGCAGCGGAAAAACCTACAGCGTCTGTGGGGAGAAAAGAGCAGTCCTGTATTGTTCAACAATGACTGAAAAGGAAGGCAGGAAAATGATACAAACTGGCAATATAAATGATGAAAACTAAAATTAGTTTGGGCTTTAATGATCAGAAAGGAAAAAAGGGAAAAGGATATGCAAATTGCATTACAAGAGAATTGGTTTCACTGCAGAAGACTGAATGCTCGCAAGCTGCTTTTTACTTCCCAGATTTATCCAATTTAAACCCATATTTATTCTCATCCCCCATAATCCTGCTGCTAATCTTCTTGTTCATTATGGAAGTTAATTACAGCAGAGATGATGACTCATTACACTGAGGTTTACTGAAAATAATGTTCCCGTGAAAGCTTATGTAAGATAAATTGCTGGGCGTTGTTCCCTGTGGGGCATCGTGTGTTTTATCTCTACCTTTGCATTAAGGCTTTGATTAAAAGCATGGAAGTTTCTTCTGGTTTTAGGCAGGTTAACTTGTGTGCAACTCCCAGGTAACCTCTGGCACTGACTTCTGAAGCAGCACAGCTAAATGGGGTGTCGGGGTTAAACAAATGACATTTGTTAAAGATGCTTGGCGAGGAAGAGAGAAACAGGACTAGCGGTACTTTTTCCTGTTGACCTGCCTCTCACTTTATACACAATTTTGGAGTTAGTGTGCTAATGACTAAGAGAAGGCTAGGAAGCATCCCATGGGCTGGGGAAAAAGAAAGAATAGCTTAAAAGCTGAAAGGCATTTCCCACAATGAGGAACAGCCGGGACGTAGGAGTCATTGATATTTCCTTGCTCAAGGAATGAGATCAGAAACAGGCTTCTCCACACACACGCACACCCTCTTCCCTTATAATCGCATGCTGCCAAAAGTTGCTGTGTGGGCAGGCTGGGAAATGTGCCTCTGGCTGGGCACGGTGGTGAGGAGGAGCACAGAGCCTTTGGAGGGATGCTGCGGCTCCTCCGAACTCTGCTCCAGCCACCGGCTGGGCTCCAAGTAGGCTTGCCTGAAGAAGTGCAGCGTACCTGCTCGGCAGGGCGGGCCCAAGAGCTCTTCACAGGCAATCAGTGTAGAACTAGCCCAGGTGCTCCCAGAAGATGCCCATTAACCCAGCTCTGGCCCTGTGGCACCACCTCTGTGTTGCTGCCTGCTGCTCTGCCTGAGATTGTCCATCTCAGCCCCCGACGCAGACCGTGGAGAGGACGAGTGTAAATCGGCGTCCTTGGGCCTGGCAGGGATGGCTCTCGCTGGTGGTCAGGTAATTCAGCCCCTGATGTACAGCTTGATTTAGGAGTGTAGCACTGGAAAAATAAATCACCTTGGCCATCATGGTTGGTCCTCCAACAACGTTTCCAGGAACTGAGGCACTTCTGAGCTGCTGGTACTGTGCAGAGGTGAAGCAGGTTGGAGGGTGATACTCAAGGCCAGGAAAGGGGTCTCTGCACCAAACAGAGGGGAGCAGTCCCTCCTGGGAGGAAGAGCTCAGATTATACAGAGCTGGAGGTCTCATTTCCAAAGTATATTCCCCTCCATCAGTGTGTATGGGCACCAAGAGCAAACCAAACCCCATGGCCAGCTCCTCTAGAGTACAACCTAACTGCAGCTGAACACTGCTGGACAAAATCCTGGTGGGTAATTCAGCTGAAACAAGGAACTTTCCCTGCTCTCCCTGTGAAGTGTTTGGCAGCTGAGTTGTCCTGGCTGCCTAATTTTCCCCCTAGATCTCAAGGGCCTCTTCGTGGCCTCTGTGATGAGAAGAGTCAGAAAGAGAAGGAGCATTTAAGATTTTTGCAAGTGACTTGTTACATGTGCTGGGTTTGTGCCAAGAAGCCGAGTCTTTTTCTTTCTTTCTTAATAGGCATAATTGGACATAAGGCATGCCTTTTGCGCTCCACGTGAGCCAGCCAGTGTCTGGGCACAGAGATGAACACCCCCTTGCTTTTTCTAGACCAGGGCTACAGGAGAGAGCTGGTGGCTACTAGTGGTCTCACAGAATTATGCCTACAGCAAGGCACAACCTTATTTCTGACAGAAAAGGGAACGTGTCCATCCAGCAAGCAGAGCAATGCTGGCCTCTGCTGGCAAGCAAAGCCTCTATACATCCACCACAATGTATGGATGCAGAGGTCCCTGCATATATGCTGTCAGCAGGGAAGGGTTTCTTCTAGGACATTTCTGGTGTGAAAGCTCTGAATGCTTCTGGGCCATGAGTGCAGGTTAAAATGGAAGGGAGCCAAGCAGAGCACTTCCTATGGATGGGCTTCTGCGGTTTGCTTCCCAGAGAGTCTGATGAGAGCAGAAATCCCATTCAGTTCAGTGTTTGCCTTTAGAAGGCCTATCCTCCCACTTGGTACCTTTCTGGAGGCAGCAAGGTAAGGGTTGGAAATGCCCTTAGTTCCACTGGTAGCTACAGATCCCATCTGCCCACTCATGATACCTTCGTGTGCTCCTTTCAACCAGTCCATAGGTTATTCTTCCCACAGCCTGTCTAGTGCTTTTGTGTTACGCGAAGGATATTTATTCTGAGTTGCGTTTTTAAGTGTCTTGAAAGGACTTGGGCTTTGTGCAGTGCTATAGGTAACGCCTCAACCTATGTGCAATCCCAGCAGCTCAGGAGATGAAAAGCACAGATTCAGTGCACGACTTCAGAGAATACAATCCTTCTGGCCGTGCAAGGGGGGTGTGAGAGCGCACTGACTTTTTGTGCTCTCCAGTAGCACTTCAGCTCTGCCCTCCGTGTAGGATGGAAACCCCAGCATCTTGCAGGAGCAACGGTGTGAGAACCTGCTAGCTGTGAGATTTCCTCTTGCCTGTAGAGACCATGGGATGAGGCTGCTGGTACAAACGAACTTCAGGTTTCTCAGGGTCAAAAGCCTGGTGTTTTTTTTTTTCCCTAGTTACTGACAACCATCTTATGCAAGCCCACTCCCAAAAATGTGCTCCAGGATGTTGTTCCAGCAGGAGTTATGCCTGTACTTGTTACTACTGGGAGGGATTCATCCCCTGAGTAGTGAGCAGGATTTCCTGACACTGTGGGAAAGAGCTGTGTCCAAATCAGCACTGTAGCAGCAACTCTGTGAAGTCATCAGAAGTCAGGTAAAAAATTGTTGCACTAAATTGTTTTTGTCATTATTACCTTTCTGTGCATGCTGATGGTTTTTAGTAAGCCAATATTGTGCACTGGTCAGACACCAGCAGCCACTAACCACTTCAAAACCATGTTTCTGTTGGCTTTCTCAGACTCCTTGTCAACCTAATCACTCGGTGACTGGATTCAGGCACCCTCCTGGGATGACACAGACTTTAACATAGATCCTCCAGGCACAACACTTGGCAGCCTGCTCTCCCGAGATAACCCAGGCAGCTGCGATCCAGTCATGAGAAGATCACAATGCAGCACAGCAAAAAATAAACAACTAAAAGCTGTTTACCAGACAGGCCACAAAGCTAATGCAGCTTTATTTGGGTACACCCTACAGAGAGCCAGTATAACCAGTCTTTTGGGGAAAAAAAAATAATCGAACCCAGATGCTTTTCCCTTTTCCCTCCAGGTTACAAGGCTCCATGTTGGGAAACAGCCACCAGCAGAAAGCACCAGCGGAGCAGAGAATGGCATCGAGACTCAACTAGCTTTGCTGCCGGAAAGAACTGCATCTCACATCTTTTGGTGGTACCGGTGAGTGTTCTGCGTTCCAGCTCTGCACTGTGTGCTATAGCCTGGGTACCCTACCGCCCGCTTTCCCGGAGGGCATGAGGCTCACACAGACTCACTGTCTACCTGCTGCCCTTCCAGTTCACACCCCCATAACGCTTCAACCTGCTGACCACTTTCTAACCAATGTGATATCAAGCCCCTACGTGCTTTATGAAAACGCACAGTGGTATCAGAACCCAACTAAAAGCCTCAAGACTCCCGTGCTTGAAAAATGAGGCTTCTAATTTTTTCCTCATACTTAGAAAGCTGGATTTAGGATTCTGCTGCTGCACATATCGCTTCCTGGAGCCTATGTTGGCCTTGGGAGAACACCCGTGAACATCCAGGCATAGAGCTGGTGCTTATGATTTCCACTGACTCTTCTACTTCTCGATCTCCTTGTAATTTGGTTCTTCCCCGTCATTTGTACAGAACAGTGACAAATGCTCCCCCTGTAGGTATGGATCTCATCTGCTCTGGGCCTTCCACTCCTCTTCCTGCACAAGTGTCAGTGCTAGTTCTTTCTCTGGGCAGGTGTTTATATGGTCTCACTCCTAGCCCTGGCTTTCTGGGCTTCTGACTGAAGTGGAGCTTATTGCATCCTGGGAGAGCGTTGTTAATATAGATGTGTGTCCAGAGAGCCGGTTTTGATATGTACAGAATTTACTAACCCTGAGACTCCTGATGAGTTTGCTTGAAATCAGATAATGGATGGGATGAGACAGATACAGGAAAACATCTCCCTGA